AAACGTACATAGGCCCCCTTCCAGCCGAGCCGAATTCACCCTCTCCATCCTTGCCCTTGCTGTTGCTCGCGAGCGAACTCGTAAGCTTCAGATCGGCAACAAGGCGCCTGTGCCCCCTGCCGATGTTTGCCGCCGCCACGTCAGGTTGTTTTGGATTACTGTAACTGAGGTGTGCAGTCGGCTCCATCTCGATGATCATGCCCCACGCCGAGCGGAGGCATTTGATCAAACGTTTGAGTAGAAATTTGTGTCTTGTAGCATGCTTTGACCGAGGGTTAACCATCGCGGCGTCGCCAAGGACGTCGTGTAGCTGGCCGCTGGGTGCCCTCTTGCCTGCCTCCACCGCCTGGCAGGCGACATCAAGGGGGAGCGCCCAAGGCGGCGCTGAACGGTGACACGCGCATCGCCCAGGACTCCATCTTCATATCATCACGCATGGGGATGGCGTTGAGGAAGGCGCCGGCCCCTGGTTGGCTGACGGCGACAAAACGGATCGCCTCTCGCCAGCATTTGTGGTTCTTGCGTCTTCCGACCTTGTTGCCTTTGGAGGGCGCCTTGCGGCCGCCGCTGCGAAGCGCCTCGTCGGTAAGCTCCTTGGCAAGGTCGAGCCAGTTAGCATGGTGCACGCCAGAGGTGTACCGTCGCTGCGCCTGGTGCAAGAACTCGTTGGTGGACGAGAACTGGGCCAGGGGAAGCAGCTCCGCAGCCGGCGTCAGCCCGTGCGGATAGAAGCGGAACCTCGGCTCCGCCTTCGCCTCGTTGGTCGCAGTGCCCGGGCTCACCACCTCCCGGCACACGACCTGCGTCCGCCAGCTCCGCTGGCGCTTGTCGGTGAGGTCGTGGTTGCTGACGAGCTGCGTGTGCGCCGCTCGCAGCTCGTCGAAACACTCTCCGGGCGCGGTCGAGACGTCGAGATCGGCGAAGGGCCTGTGTAGCTCGCGGATCGGCCGCGTGACGAGAGCCCACGTACCAACCCACGCCGCGCCGCGAATGTCCTCGGCGCTAGTCAAGCCCATGCCGCCCATATTGACTGGCAGACGCGCCTGCTTGAGCGCCCGCACCCACCGGTCATCATCGCGCCCGACTCGCGCGCCGCCGACAAGCTCGTACAGGCTGTCTGCAATCAGCCTGTCGTGCTCCTTTGCCGCCGCCAGGGTGACGCTGGGAGGCATTGTGCGGAGGAAGAAGGTGAGCGTGGTATTCATGCAGAAACGGATCAGCACCTGTGAGAGCTGCTGCGCCGTCCGGACCTTCTTGGAGTCGCGCAGGGCGAGAATGCCCGGAAGCGGCTCCAAGGCCTTGCGGACCCGCTTGACCAGTTTGTCGCGGCACCACGCAGAACCGCCAAGGAAGGCGCCGAGGACGCGGATGCCCGGAAGCGTGCCGCCCTCGTAGGAGCCGTGGGGCGGGGCGTCCGGCGTGCCCTTGACGTCCACCCGATGGCGCACCGAATCGAGCGAGCGAGGGTCCGGCGCCCAAATGCACCGCTTAGACGGGTTGCTCTCAACGCCGCAGCATCGCTGCGCAATGACGTCGCCTTCGAGCATCGCGCAGAGCGCCGCCTCTGGATCATCGGCACAGTAGGTGTCATCAGGTGCGCGCAAATCAGGGTGGACGGATGCCGGACCTGCATCTCCAACAGGGTCCAGTGGTATCCAATCGCGAAGAGGAAGGGCCCGAGGGGATCGCCCTGCGCGCAGCCCTCTGCCGAATCATGCGAAGAAGAAAACGTGCGCAAATGGGAATTTTACATCGAAGGCGACCCAGCTGACGTGAATGATGCGTGATGGCGCGGCTCATCCTCAATAATGGCGCCAGGCGAAGAAGAAAACGCTAATCGTTCTTTTTCTTTTCCTGCTACAATCAACAATGCCTGTCAAGAGTGCTGGTTTACGTTATATACGTGTACCCTTCCCTAAGTTTCTCCGAGACTTATATACCCGTCGCCCCCGCCCGCTTCGCTCGCTCGCTACGCCGGGCGCTCCCCTCTCTCTCCCTCCACACGCGCTGCAGCATCTCGTAGTCCTCCCTCGTGTCCACGCCGCTGCGTGCGGACTGTACCTCGCCGACGAGGATGGCCATCCCCGCCTCGAGGGCCCGCATCTGCTCGAGCTGCTCGAGCGCCTGGCTCGGAGAGAGGAGTCTCGGAGAGAGGGAGAGAGGAGTCTCGGAGAGAGGGAGAGAGGAGTCTCGGAGAGAGGGAGAGAGGAGTCTCGGAGAGAGGGAGAGAGGAGTCTCGGAGAGAGGGAGAGAGGAGTCTCGGAGGTTGCTTTGGGGGGGGGGGGGAGGCTCGCATCTCGGCGGTGCCTCCAGGCGCGAGGGAGGCAGCTCGACGAAGCGCTGCAGGGAGGGCGGCCGAAAGGCGTACAGGCCGACGTGTTGCTGCGCCGCGCACTCGCCAGGGTTCGGGCCAGGGTTCGGGCCAGGGTTGGGATCGGCTGCTCCGCCGCCCCGCAGCAGTAGCGAGGCGAGGGTCTGCCGGTCGACGCCGATGGGCGCGCGGCTGAAGAAGAGCGCGCGCCGGCAGGTGGCTCCCTCCCCGCCGACCCGCTCCGCGCCACCGCCCGACGGACCTGCGGCGCCTCTGCTCACCGGAAGAAGGCCCTCGCTGTGCAGCGGCGGACCGCACACCACCTTGACCTTGCTCGGGTCGAGGAGCAGCGCGGCAGGGAGAGGCGTGCTCAGCGTAGCAATGTCGGCCGTCGGGTGGGAGAGCAGCAGTCGCGCCGACGCGTCGATCGCCGACGGCTCCACGAGCGGCTCGTCGCCCTGCACGTTGACGACGACGTCCGCAGTGGCCGCCACGTCGGCGCGCAGGCGAAGCGCCGCTGCGACGCGGTCGGTCCCCGACGGAAGCGCACTGTCGGTCATCACCGCCTCGGCGCCAGCTTTCTCCGCAGCGGCGGCGATGCCTTCGTGGTCGGTCGCAACGAGCACTCGTTGCACCGTGCTGGCGGCGAGCGCAGCGCGCACGACGTGCGCAATCATCGGCTCGCCACCGAGCATGGGGAGCAGCGCCTTTCCTGGCAGCCGCGTCGACGCGAAGCGGGAGGGGATGACGGCGATAACGCGGCCCATGCACCTCGAGCGCTGAGGCGCGCCAAAAGAATTTTACGGCGATTTCGCGCTCATTCGCTGAGTCAACCCGTCGCCCGACTCTCCGCCCGCCAGGGCCGCCTCCGCTGACTCGTCCGGCTATGAAACTGTAGAAACCGATACGCCGGACGAGGTGCAGCAGGGTATGCGGCGCGCTCGGCATGAGGACGCAGTTCGACGCGGCGGTGGCGGCGGGCGAGCTTCTCGAGCTGCTCGAGAGCTTGCCGCGAGGAGCGGTCGAGGCCTCAGTCCGACAGATGCGGGGTTACACCCGCACGGGCGAGTGGCCGGAGCCCATTCTCACTAGCCCGCCTGTGTGCGCGCGGCCCCTGATCAGGGTGGATGAAACCGACAACGCGGAAGAATTATTTTACTCTCGATTTGAGCACTCACTGGGTCTGTGACTTCCCCGCCCCAGCCCTCGACCGGGTGGCCGTGGCCTCTACAACTATGGCCTCTTGCTGCGCCTGCCGGGCCCCACAGCGGCCCCTCGTGTCTCTGAGATCTTGTGTGTGTGTGTGATAATCTCCGCGGGGAATATCCTTGCAATAAAAAGCGGCGGCCAAAACCGCAAAATTGAAAAAACGATGCTCGATGATGGCAATTGTTCTGTCACACTGACTGATCCATCAAATGGAGTTTTTCCCACTACAGACTCACACAGCCCGTACCGTAAGGTACGTCATGTGCCCTCTCTCACCACACACGCACCGGCTATCCACTCACCACCTGGCCTTGCCGGCCTCAACTCGACCGCTCGACGCTCACAGCTCTTCCTTTGCAAACGCGCCCAGCTCCTCCGCCATCTCCGCCGCCCGCTCGTGCAGCTCGTGGCAGTCCACGTCCGCGCCGCACGAGCCCGCCCACGCGCTGAGCCGCTCCGCGAGGGCGCCGAAGGGGCACCCGCCGCCCGCTCCACGGAAGAGCTTTGCGGCGGGCGGCAGCAGCAGCTTGTCGAGCAACTGGACCGCCTTCTCCTGCACGTCGACGGCGGGGGCGGCGAGCGAGGAGAGGAGCGAATCGCACAGCACGGACGAGTTGTGCCGCAAGGCGCCGCCCAGCGCGCTGCCCGCCAGCCCCTCGCCGCCCGTCCGCCCCTCCTCCTCCGCCACCTCCTCCTCCCCCGCCGCCGCCGCAAGCAGATCTGCCAGCAGAGTGAGCGACTTGAGCCGCAGCTTGCTCGCCGCAGCCTCGCCCGCCAGCGCGTCAACCAGCGCGTGCACGCCTAATCTCGGGTCAGCTCGAGTCAGCTCGAGTCACATCGGGGGCCATCTCGCGCCAACCAGCGCGTGCACGCCTCCCGCGAGCTCGAACTGCCGCCTCCCGAGCGCGTGCGACCGCTGCAGCGCCGAGGCCGCGTACAGCGCCTTCGCCCTCACCTCTGCGGAGGCCGCCTCCCGGAAGAGGCGCGCCAGGCCTACAGCAGCCACGAGACGCCTCTCGCCGGCGCGGTCGGGAGCACACTCGCTCGCCTCGCTGCGGCCGCGAGACCAGGCATCACGTCCACCTCGGCCGAGCAGAGGTGGGACTGCAGCGCCTCATCGTTCTGCGCCGCCGTGCCGAGCACCCACGCCGCGCCCGCCTGGAGACGAGGCTCCTCCGCCGCGAGCAGCCCCTTGACCTCGGCGAAGCCGCCCGCCGCCATCAGGTCCCTCGCGTTGTCCACGTCCTCCACCAGCTCCTGCAGCGCCTCGAGCGCCTCGAGCCGGTCAGGCACGCCGAGCGACCGGTTGACGTCGAGCGCGGCGTCAAGCGCCTCGCGCATCTGCTCCATCTGGTCGGGGAGCGCGTCCATCGCGTCGGAGACGCCGCGGAGCTCACGGATGCGCTCGGCGGTGAGGACAGGAAGCGGCGGCGGCGCGGTGCCATCGTCAGCGCTGCTGCTGCTGGCACTCAGCGGCAGCGCCACCTGGTGGGCGTCTGGGTCGCAGAAGGCAATCGCAAGGAAGTAGAGAGCGACGAGTCGGACGAGCGAGGGTAGCATCGCCTGCGGGGCGCCTTCGCGTTGGTGGCGTGTGCGATGGGCAGAAAAAATATATCTCGGGGGAACTGTCACCTTTTCATCGGGCGGCGGCGCGGCGCGGCGGCGGGCGACGCGGAGCGGGGCGGCGCGACCATCTGCAGTTACCGGGTCTCTGATCATTGGAGAGCGGCAATGGTCGCGCCGCCCTCGACTCGAGGGGCTGCCTTCCACCCGAGAGCCCCCATCCCGCTTAGAGCTGTCAAACGTTAAGAGCTGAACAGTGTTGCTAGTGTTAACAGTAACAACAGAACAACAGTGGGGCTCCCCAACAACAGTAGCTAACGTTAGGCCAGCTGAACAACAATAAGGAAGGCCTGGCAGTGACCCACGACGATCTCCAGCGTCCAGTGCGGGTAATACCCGAAAATACCTGGAAAAACCCAGGTATTTTCGGGTTTTACCCGGTTTTTTTGGCATTTTCTGCTTGCTGGCCACTGAACAACAGTAACAACAGTAACAAACAGTAACAGCTTGGGCTGGGGAGAACACTTGAACAACGTTGAGGATTTTCAGCCAACAATAGTGCAACTGTTAGGCCCAAAGTTAACGTTTGACAGCTCTAATCCCGCTACGGTTGTAGCCTCCTCCCGCGATCCCTCGCGGCCGCGCGACGCCGCACCAATGGCGCGCTGCGCCTCGTCCTCGGGGGCAGGATCGAGCTCCCTGCACACTGGCACTCACTCTTGAGGGTTGCTAGTCCCGTGCCCGATGTTGTCATGATCGGGGAATTCTTTGTTTAAATTCTTCGCTTCTCACGACATTTGGTACGGGACTGGCGGAGAGTAAACACCCGTGTCGCGTGTGTGTCGCGCCTTGGGGGGGGGGGGGGGGGGAAGTAGGAACCTCTTCCCAAGAGCGCCACTCTTGGAGCGCCGCCACCACCACCCAGAGCGCTGCAAGCAAGCAAGCAGCGCCGGGCAATGACGGCTTACCGCCCACCCAGCCCCCCCTCGGCACACCCCAGCAGCCAATGTGTGACGGCTTGAACCCGCTAAGCCATCCCGCAAGCGGGATGGCCCGCCACTCGAACCCGCAAGCGGGCGTACGAACCGCGAGCGGCTCGCACTCGTGTCACGCTGAAACGCGTTTTTTTCGACCCGCTGGTCTTCCCCGGTTTGCGACGGGCTACTACTTCCAGGCCGCACTTGGGCCGCCCGGCGTGTGAGGCTGGCGAGCATCGCGGCGAGCGGCTGCTTCTCACGCTGGACACCCTCGCCCTGCACGGCTCGACCGCGCTTCTGGCGTCCTTCTTTGGCAACCCTCGCGTCGCAACGCTGTGTGAGGGACGCACCTGGGAGTGCGAGTCACAGCCGACCAAGGAGGCGGCACGGGCGCAGCGCTGTAGCGCGGGGTCATCGTTTCCCGCGCCGCGACCTGGCCTGCCCGTGCTCGCTTGTCTGCCGCGAGCAGCGCCGCACTTGGATGCCGCGCAGATTTGGGCCGATGCCCTCCGTCGCTTCGCCCCTTTCTGGCGCGAGCATGGCCGCGCCTCTGCCCCTCCTGTGCTGGTGGCTAAGTGGGAGCCACTGCACTCTATGATGGCGAGCGCCAAGGCGAGCGCCACCGTGCTCCCGCCCGATCGTGTCCCTGTTCCGCCGCTCCTTGCGGGCGCCGGCGTGCAGCACGTCAGATGGGCGGCCGTGGCCATGCACCAGCCGTGGTGTATGACGGTTGGCCTCTCGAGCTACGCGGGACGGGCGCGGCAGCGCAGTCTCAAGGCGTGGGCAGCGATGGAGCTGCTCAACCGGCGGCGCATCGTAGATCGAGTCCGCTTCCTCGAGGCCCGCGGCGTCCCCCTCCTCGTGACTAGCCACGCGGAGCTGCTGTGGCGTCCCGACCGATTCGTGGCCAAGATCCTTGCCTTTGCGCCCTGCGCGGGGCGGCTCAACCTCTCGCACATCCCTCGCCTCGGAGCAGACCACTTCCAGGCGAATGCTCTCAAGGTGGCCAACGAGAGCGTGAGAGGTTTCGGCGAGAGGAGGGACCCGCGCGCCTGCTGTAACATGACCGCCACCCAGCATCCTTCCGCGCGCGCTCGCTGCGCCGCGCCGGCCGAGATTCTCTACGCGGGCCTCGACGAGGCAGGCCGCGCCCTGGCGCAGGAGCTAGACGGCTTCATGGAGTCGAGGGTGCGACTGCGATGGGAGCTTGCGGGTGGCGCTCGACAAACTGAGGGTGTTACAGCGCGCTGAGCTCGACAGATTGTCTTGCTCGACTTAGAGCGGCAGACGGCGCGCCCGCCGCGGTAGCGGAGTGTCGTGTTTTCTCATAGCCACTGCACCATGCACTGGCCACTGCACACTTCCGTACTCTAGAGTGTGCGGCTCCAAGAACCAAGAGATCGGCCCTCGAGATCCTCGAGTCGAGATCCCGCGCCGGCGGCCGGGGTTTGGTGCGGCGCTGGGTGCGAAAGGGAAGAGGCCGCGTACCACACGAAATGGGAGAGGATCTTTATGATTATTAGGTCGCAGTGTTCCGACATGAGCTCTCGGGAAACTACATACTAGTTGTGGAGGGAGGAAATCTGTCTGTCCTGTGGATCTCTGGTGGCCGTGGCGGGGGGGTTTTCTTTCGATCGACCGGCGACCGGTTTATGATGTGCTCAACGACAGCTCACTTAATCAAAACACAGGACGCGGCCGGGGCACAATACAGACGGGGAAGCGTGTAGTAACGCGATTTGCCACACGCGAGCGACGGAGCGAGGGGGAGTCCAAGCACTTGTAGGCGACAGCGACCGCCTCCACTGTGAACCACTTTTGATGCCTAATCTCAAAGTATAGCCAGGGGGGATACCCGTAGCCCCCAAAGTGAACTGTCTGATCGACTCCCCGGCACACGGCGGAGCCGGAGGAGGAGGAAGACAGCACAACCCAGGGCGGGAAGAGCACAATGCTCAGGGTGGGACAAAACACCGACAGACGAGAGAAGAGGCCACAAAACAGACAAGCAGAATGGCGGGAGAGAGACGCTCTGCAGGCGAGCCGCCCTTGGGCTCTCGCGTCTCTCTCTCGATTCGACCTGCTTTCGACCGATCGAAAGCAGGTCGAATCGCATCACAAATGTGGGGAAAACAAATGTGCGGCGGTCGCCCCGCGCCGCTGCCAGTATTTCTTGGAGAGCGCCTCGGTTGGGTCTTTGTCACTGTGAAGAAAGGAAAGGAAAGGAAAGGAAATATAAAAAGGGTGTGAACACTGAAGACCGACCGCCGCTGCCCGCCGAACGCAGGCGAGGCGCTTGTCGCGCGCGTCGCTCTTGCACCGCCAGACCCACTGCACGGGGCATGCGGGTCGGGACGCGGACCGCCTGCAGCGAGCCGCAGGTGGCATTTGATGATGGCGATGACACCATCGAGGCTGCTGCTTCCGATATGCTCCGCTCGCGATCGCGCCTCGCTCCAGAGGTTCGCAGGCTAAAGATGGAGGAGCGAAGAGTGGTGTTGGCAGATGTGCGGCGAGGCGCGATAGCACACGCAATTCCCATTGCACCGCCGGCGGCCAGTGACGTGTTTGAGCTCGATGACTCCATGGAGTGGAGCATGTCGGAGGCGGCGGCGTCGATGGCGTCGTCGTCGCTGCTGGCCGGCGGAGCTTTTCGATCCCTCTCGTCACCGCCGCGTGCGGGCGACATGGCGACAGCGTCTGAAGGGGCGCCAGAGTGCCCGCCGCGCGCTCGACCGAACCCCGAGAGCGCGAGAGAGAGGCGGGGTGGTGGGGGGGGGTACTCGCGCCACTGCGACGAGGGATAGGAAGGTACAGAAGGGGCAGACGCCCAAGGGTGGGCGACGGCTAGCACCACCACACTCCTCTCCTTAAAATCCCTGTGTGGTCCGCGCACATCCGCATCCCTCCCATTCGAGGGCTTTTTTCTTTGGCGGCATTTGCAGGGCAGGGGGGGGGGGTGGCGGAGGGGGATTGTTTTGAGAGCGCCTCCGTTGGGTCTTTGTCACTGTGAAAGGAAAGGAAAGGAAAGGAAAGTAGATGTACGGGTATCTAGCCGCAGCCCCAACGTCGCCGCTCTTCTAGAGTGTCGGGTACGGCTTGAGTTTAGTGACCAGCTAGCACCGCTGCTCTTCAAGATGCTGCTTCTCTTGGAGCGCTCCCCCGCCCGCCCGCCCAAGCACGCGGCCAAGCCCGGCGCGGACGAGCGAGCCGAGCGCTCCCCCGGCCAGGAGGGGCAGGCCGAAGATGAAGAGGTACTCGACGCCCGACGCGGGGAAGAGGCCGAAGCCACCCTCGCCCGCGAGCTGGAGGCGGACACACACGATGGTGTGCAGCAGACACCCGCCGAGGAAGAAGGCGCACAGCAGAAGCGCCTGGGCAGTCCAGCGACACGCCTCTTCCGCTGTGGCTCGCGGGCGAGATGCCGCAGGGGAGGGGAGGGGGTTGGGGGGGGGGGGGGGGAGCGGCGCGCCCGGACGTGCCACGCCAGCGGCTGGCACTCGTTTACGACTGCGAGGCCGAGGGGCAGGACCCGGCCCGAAAGGTGGCCCTCTAGCGTGCTGCTGACCGCCGCCAGCCGCGACGCCGAGAGGACGTCGAGCGGGTAGAGACACACGCCCAAGATCCGGAAGGAGAGGGCGGAGAGCACGTAGGCGATCCACCAGCGCGCCGCGCCGTGCACGCCGAGCCGCATCACCTAATTAGTAGTTAGTTAGTAGTTGATTAGTAGTTGATTAGTAGTTAATTAGTAGTTGCCGTGCACGCTGAGCCGCATCAACTGCGGCATGCCGATGCCGCGGCCGGCTCCCGTCTGCTAGTCTCGGCTGGTCTCTGCTACCAGTCTCTGCTACCAGTCTCTGCTACCAGTCTCTACCAGGGCGGCGCAACCTGCACGAGGTAGGCGATGCAGGGCCACGGCACGGCGAGGGCGAGGTGGAGCAGGTTGTGCGAGTGGTTTGCGAGCGACGTCTCGAGCGCTGTCGAGAGGATTCCTCGCGGCCCGAAGATGGCAACCGTGAAGGGGACGGCGATGGCGAGAGCGAGGCCAGAGGGCGGCCCTCCGAGGGCCGGGGGGCGGGTGGGGGAGGGCAGCAGCAGCTTGCCGTTGGCCGGCGGCAGGGCGGGCGACTGCGGCGACGGCTCGGGCGGCGACGCGGGAGGGGAGAGGAGGGGCGAGAAGAGCAGCCGCAAGAACTCCTCCCCCGCCTCGCCGCTCGCGAGCCCTGCCGCCGGCCCCGCCTCCGCATAGCACGGGTCGTGCGAGGCGGCCGCGGAGTACGTCCCGGACGTGGCGTATCCGCCCTCCTCATCGCCGGGCGGCAGCTGCAGCGCGCCGGCCGGCGCCATGTGCAGTGAGGCGGCCTCGCCGTGCAGGCTTGCCTCGCCGTGCAGCGCGGCGGCGGTCGCATCGAGCAGGTCCTCGAGCGTCCAGGAGGGAGGCTGCCCGCAGAGCGAGGGAGGCTGCCGCTGCAGCCAGGCGGCGGCCGGATGAGCCTCAAAGCCGCTGTCCCTCGAGTCGAGCGAGGAGGGCTCGCTTGATGGCGAGCTCGATGCCGGCTCTTCCCGCGAGAGGGGGGCGAGGGGCTTGAGCGTCTTTCCAACCTTGAAGCCGATCATGCTGCAGCTCAGCGCGTCCGAGAGGCGCACGAGGCCGGGCAGCGGCGCCGTCGTCTCGTCGTCGCGGAGCACCACAAGCTTTGGGCCAGTGGAGCACACGGTCTGGTTTATGACGCGGTGGGCAGGGAGAGGCGCACGCGGCCGCTTGCGGCGGCCAGGGCTGCGCGCCGGCTCGTTCCAAACCCCACCCGACTGCGTGTTTGCAAGCTCAGCTCCTCCAACCTCCACAATTCGGATCCGGGACGCGGGGATGAAGAGCGTGCCGTCGCGGCATTGCGCGCAAAAATGCTCGCGAAAGGCCCCGCTCGCTGGACGCACCGGTGGGCACCCGCTCATCCCCGACATCTGCCCGCCCCAACACGGGCAGGGTGATTGCGAAGACCACGCGCGGGCAGGCAACCGACGTGCATCGTCGAGGGTGTTCCCCCCGGGGTCGGCGGGCATCTGGGGCGGATCTGGGTCGCAAGGGATCTTCCTCGGCACCATTGCGCCGTCTGCCAATCATTTTTCTCGCCAATTTCTTCTTCTGTCTCTCGAGGTTCTCGAGGTGGATATCCTTTGGCCGCGTTGGGTAGCGTTCTGTGGCGCCGGCCGCGCTCCTCTCTCTCTCGGCGCTCGTGGCGGCCAAGCTCAGCGAGGCCCGGGTCGCGCCCGCGGCCTCGCTCCCGATGGCGCGGATGGAGGCCACCTCGTCTCGCCTCGAGAGCGCGGCTCTGTACGAGTTGACGGCGGCGTCCCGTGCGCCGTACCCGCCGCAGCGCTCGGCTTCGGCGAGGTCCGGGCTGCAGGCCACAAGCTTTGACCAGCATTTGAGGAGGGAGTTGTGGTAGGCTTCGGCCGGGCCGCGCACGCCCGTGCGGCCCTCCCCCGTGTCGTTAAGCACGCCGACCGAGGTGACGCCCGTGTCGACGCCGGAGCCTCCAGTGATGGTAGGGAGCATAGCCTGCCTCCAACCCAGGTCTTTGTATTTCGCAGGAGTATCCTCGGCCTCCGTGAGTGTATGTAGCTTATGTAGCTCTTACGTACATTCCCGTAGGAGGCTCTGCTGACAGGGTTTGCGATGAGGAGCGACCCGAAGGGTTTCTCGGAGGTTAGTGCACCACTAACCGCCGAAGCGCAAGAACTCTACGACGGATCGGGCTCATACTAGCACCCCACCTCGCGAGCCGACGTTCTGGCTCTTTTTCAATTTTCTGAGTAAGAATTCAAACAAAACAAGTCTCTCTCACAGCAGACAGGCTCGGAGTAAGAATTCTTAAATACAACTCTCTCTCACAGCACACAGGCTCGACACAGGTGCGAACTGGCGCGTGCTAGTACTATCACCGGCACACCACCGGAGCCGCCTAAGCGACTCCGTTAAGAACGGCAATGCACTTAGCTCCGTGCACAATGCCGCTGTCCCCGCACGCTAGCTCGTTCACCGTCTGCCACGCCACGGCGGTGTGGAGAACGACAGACAAGCGCTGCATCTGCAGCCCGTGCCAGTTCTTGGTGGTCCATGTGACCTCATCGAGGTGCTGAGCGTGCGAAAGTTTGTTACTCAGCTGGTCCGCCGCCTGCCGAAGAATTCTGCGGACGCCGTCCCCGAAGCCCCCGAACGTCTCGAAGTCGAGCAAACGCAGGTCGCAATTCTTCTCCCGCGCGAACCGGTACTCGCCCTTCTCGTAGCGGGCCGTCACAGGTGCCCCCGCCTCCGCCTCCCCCTCACTCTCCCCCTCCTCCTCTTCCGCCGCCGCCGCCTCCGCCTCTGCATCCTCCGCCTCCCTCCCCCCTTCCCTCTTTTCCCTCTTTTTCCCCCTTTCCCCTTCTCTCTTTCCCTCCTCTCCTTCCCCCCTTTTTCTTCTCCTCTCCCCTCTCTCTCCTCCCTTTCTCCTTCTCCCCTCCTCCTTCCCCCCTCTCCCCCCC